TTAAAGATTCTGACACCCTTAGAACAACCTCTTTAATTTTATCTGTTATACTAATTTTGTATAGTGTTTGGAGCTAACTATTAGTGTAATCTGGATGACAAAGTTGAAAGATGAAAGGCAAGGGAAAAAAGACCTTAAATGGACAGAGAATAGTAAAATTTCTGAACACAGCACTCAAAGTATTATTTAATTATTAAAATTAAATTCAAAATTACATTTAAAATTAAATGTAATTTTCCTATGAATAATCTTAATGTGTTCATGTTTGAATGAAAATCAGTGCAGCTGACCACAAACCAATTTGAATGTCAAATATTGGGACTTTCAACTGCACATTTTTATTAGCTCCTGAACAGATGACATATGAAAAGCATAGCTGTTGTTTTCAAGATAGACACTTAGTTACTCGACTACAAAGAAAAGACTAAGGATTTCAGCCATTAAAGGCTTAGAAATGAGAAAGAAATAAGAACTCTGAAATTACAAGTAATGACAATAACAATTAGCAAGACAGCTTCATCATTCGGCACTATCTCAACATTCTCTTAAAGTGTGGTATCAATGAAAAATGAAGATGATCATGTGGCTTTTATATGCCCTAAAAATCCCTAAAAAACTACAAGTAACACTATGGTTACCTCTGCATAGAAGACTTCAAAATACAGAAAGTGTTATAGCACTAATAGCACACAGTATAACCTGACAGATAAATCTCAGAATGATTTGAAAGTCTCATTAGCTATAGTGCTTATCCTAAGAAGGTATAAAATTACTTTTTAGGAATGACAAAATAAGTTAGTGTACAATGCACACAGAGGTGATAACATGGTGATCAGTGAAAACAATTATTTCCTGTGATCTCTGCCACTCACTGAAATGCATGACAAGTTGCACCTGCACAGAGCCCTAGCAAAATTCTCAGTTTTCCACGGGTCTATTCTAGCTGTGGAATGAACATAAATATCCACTGACAGGAAAAAAAAAGAAAGCCTAAATCAAGATTAAACTGAAAGGATATCACACTGAAGGATGACAGGGTACCACTTTGTGATTTATTGCCTTCCGACATGACAGTTTCTTTCATGTGTGGTTTTGCGCCTTTTCAAAACATTCATATTATCACATTTTGGTACTTTTTATAATCTGACATTTAAGAATTAGGCAGTCGTGTCCTGTAAGGACTGCCTGTAATAATGTTTATACTGTACTGATCAACACAAGCAATGCCACTGATGGGGCCAGTAGCCCTAAAAAGCCTGTTGGTTCAAATACTCCCAGGGAAATCTAACAGAAAAGAACACTAACCCCCTTTGGGATATTTTGTGACATTACAATTCTGTTTATTCTCAACTTTTTCAGTTCAAAAGCACTTATAATTTCTTATTTGTTGTAATAATTGAACCTATTTAACTAAATTGTTTAGAATCAGGTAAATTATCCCATACAGATTATTCAGACAAATCTAGTTATTTCCACCATGTCCACGCTATATTTCACCTCCTCTACTGGATTTACTAAAGTTTCAGTATGGAAAGCCTGATTCTTGGACTGTTTCCTGTTGGGGTTATACCCAGGTGAACAATGTTACAACACATAGTTCCCTATGACCAGATAACTCGACACAGGTTTTTTGCATCCTTCCATCCAACTCATTCTGTTCTAGTCAGAACACACATCCTGGGGTCTCAGGCAATTGGTAGACTTGAGAGGATTATGCATCCCAACTATATATTTGAACCAGATTAATGATTGGGCCATATATTAGAGCACTTAATGCATATGAACATTTTAACCTTCAAATTTTAGTCGCTTGCAGTGAGGCCTCCTTACATTAAAATTTTGCTTGAACCCCAGAAAGAAAATCTTCAAAACACAACATTATAATTGTTGCTTCAAGATACAGATCACAAGTGGTAGCATCCTGTCTTCTACACCAACATTTGAGTAAACTGGGGCACCTCAGAGAAGGAGTTCAAGTGGATTAAATACAATAGACAGGAAGCAAATTTCCAAGACGCTGCAAACATTATAAAAAAGGCTGACCTGGTAAAAATAGGCCTTATTCTCCTCTTACATGGCTGACTACACTGGAGCTGCCCAGATTTACAAAGTAGTTGCACAAGTCTAAAACCGATGCCAGTTACATCAGAATCTGGCCAAATGCCTACAAATGCAGTAGCTTCAGATGCTGGCTTAAACTGAAATGGCAGATGTACTATCACATGGTGATCAGGAAATTTGTTCTGCTTTCTTTCCCAAATTGCTACTGACCCCAGCCATATCCTTATGTCAATAAAGAGGTGCGAAAACAGGAATCTGGGAAAAGAGTAGACTACTAAACAGCTTAGAAATGTCTTTTAAAATTGGGTTTGTTCCAGAAAGACTTAAATATCGGGTACAGTTGCTTCAATGCCATTTTTATGTTGCTAAAAGCAGTTACCCAAAATCCCGGGCTCTTTCCTCTGTCTTTTATTTTAATCATATAAAAACTAAACAGAAGTCTTTTCAGACACAAAAGAAAGCTGAATGCACTGTAAATAACTGACCCATTTCAGGCTTTCTCTTCCATTGTGCTAATTCCATCTTCCTGGATAAATGGAGAAAAGATTGACTAATCAGAGAAGCTTTTTAAGTTACAATGGCCCTTTATGACAGTTACAATGTATTGCTTCTGTAATGGAAGGGATTCAGGACAGCACTGACAGTACCTTACTTCTTCCAAAAATGATTTAACTCATTGACCTCACTGGCAGAGGAACTATAGGAAAGAAAGGTACACCCTCTTACACCCTTTCAGAAATTGGCCCTTTGTTGGTGAGAGCAAAAGCACAAGTTAGTGAAAGGAAAGGTCTGTAAACCTTCAGACCAGAACTATAGCAGAACTGCTTTGCCAGTGATCCTGTTGTATAACTCCAAGTATCTCAGTGTGAATGCAGCTAATACCAGAAACCTGCAGCCCAACCCAGGTTAGTGTGAAATATATAAACGTGTTACTGAGGTGCAGCATACTGACCAGCATAAAAGCTGTCTCATAAAATGTGTTCCTTTATGGAAGATTTGTTTAATAGCATCTATAGGAACTGTTAGCCAGGACAGCTATATGTGTCATCTTGTTTTCCAGAGTTCTGGCTTAAATAGACAAACGATTTCCCAAGGCAAACAGGTAAAAGATTATTTCAGGAGTTCAATACCAGACACAGTGGTAGGTACGAGTCACACTCAGAGAGACTTTTTATATTTTTAATATTCTAAGTTATAAGCTAGGTATATTAAAGTAGAAAGTAGAATATCCTTTACATGTTTAAACTCTTCCCACTTAAGGCCTGTTTTCAGATAATAAAATTAATAATGATAGACCAGTCAGTTTCTTTAGAGAAGTCAAGGCTTCTTGCAGTTAGTTCTCTGACCCTGTCTTGCTGTATGTCACAAAGGCATCATGCTTACTTCACTGTTCAAATACATACCAATAGCTACTTGCCTTCTCAGTGTTAAAGCTCAGGTCCCTTTCTTTCTTTCAATCAACGTATACTATATTACCCCTACTGAGTGATCTAACACAAGTGTGACAGGACCTCCAAGATTTAGTCTGGCATTGAGTGATCTTATAATGACACAAAGCAATCACAACAGCCAGTGTAGCTGTGCTTTAGATAAGAGAATGGTCCATTAGGTTGTCCTGTTTTCCTAACTATCTCTTCCAGATACACAGGCAACTGCCCTATAGTGGACAGGGAGAGCAAAACATCCTCAGGGACAACTGCACTGGAAAATACATTACTCAGCTTCAGTGATTGTAAACAAGAGATAGAAGTCACTTCAAGAAATTAGACTGCTGTAAGAAACAGTGGAGTTGGATGCATTCAAGGGTGCTTCATAGTCAGTAGTACAAGCTGATTTTTTGTATTGCAGAAGTTGTTTTGGTCTTACTCATCTGTTACCAGCCTATGACATACTAATTATTATTATTTAAGAAAAGGGAGAACAATAAGAGGTCCATCCTAAGATAACAGTATGTACTGTGCTAAACTTCCTGTACGCGGGGAAACAAAAAAAGATGATGATTTCCAGCTAATTGTTTATGCCCTAGTCTTTGGCAGCTATGCCAACAAAAGCACTGAATAATGATCTAAAAAGACCAAAACAAGAGAAATTACATGTTCAGCAGTTCTTTGTTATTTGAAAGCCAGTAGTGTGTTTTATTTGCTTTTCAGCTACATTTTGGTGTGGCCTCTCAAAAAGAAATAATCCTGTGAACAAAATATCTGGATGAGAAACAAAAGAGCTGCCAAATCTGATCCACAGGTGATGAGTATTTGGCCAGCAACCAAACTTAGGCTAAATTAAAAACAATTTAACCAGGAAAAACTGTCCATCTGCTTGTACAGTTAATACAGACGTAGTGCAAAAAGGTGTTAATAATCTCTAAAGAGAAGAACCTTACACTACCTGCTGAAGACCAAATGTCCAGCAGAAACCTCTACTGCACAAAACTGGAAGTCTGTACAAAGGAATACTAGCACAACACAAAGAACTCCCTAATGTTTTCATATTTAGTAGTAGTAGAAAATAGGCAAATTGTGAAGACCCAGTGTGAACTACAAAATTTAATCCTCAAATCTAACATCATTTGCATTGTAACTCTAGTAGCTAAAGGGAAAGCTAGGAAATTCTTAGAAATATAAATCAGCCTGAGACTACAGTGTGTACTGAAATAACATGTGTGAGCTTCTTCCAAGTCTTACCTAAAATAAGCAGCTTGCTTAAATATAAGTCCATAAAAAGAAGCTATGTATCAAGGAGAGATACTGATAATAAAACACCATAACCACTTAACTATGACATTTTATATAACAGAGCTTCAATCTCTGTCAAATGTATATCATCAAGCTATATCATCAGTGTCCTAAATATTTTAAATGAGTGGGTTTGGAGTTTTGTGGGTTAATGTCAGAAACAGTGGTCCCACCCTTGCTTTCTTGACTGCTCACACCTTTGCTGACCCCTTCTCTCCTGCCAGCACTAGCATTAAGGCAGCCATGCAATAAGACACATGTAGAAACTCACTCTTGGGCTTGGTTATGGGGTTGTTGGGGTTTTTTCCTCCTATTTTCTCCTATAAAGACAGAGAAAATGGAAATACTTCTTAGATACCCAGGAATCTTCACAAAGTGATGTTATTACTTTCTCTTGCAAAGAAAATATGTACATTTTTATCATATACTCAGTGCCTCACCAATGAATATTCATATCCTTAAGCACATTCTAATCTCTCTTAGAAAAGCTACATTTTTGTGATTTGTAGTAGCTCCTTCCCTCTCTTTCTTTTTTTTTTCCTTCCCTCCTGGCTGTAAACCCCCATTTCTGAGAAGCGTAAGCTTCTTGTCTGTGAATATGCTCCAAGGGCAAAGAGGGCAAAGTTGGTTGAGTTTTTCCAAGTTTTTTCTAAATGTGCCTATCTTCATGCACCCAACTAGCTTACCAGAGGGTTTAATGCATTCCCTCAACCTCAGAAGGTCTGGGCTTACACATAGCCAGCTGCTCCTGAACTCCGTCTTTCCAGCTCAAAGCTGCTTGTACCAGTGAAAATGCAGAGCAAACACAACAATCATATCCTTATCAGTCCCAGACTCGCAGCTATGCACTGTTCATTTTTATTGCTGAAGAGTTCCAGCTTTTTTTTTTCCTTATATGCCACACTAATTAACAGAATCCAATGAAGTACGTCACAAGATTTCTCCAGCAGAAACCCGAGGGCTACTAATTTCAACCAGAAGGCAATCTTGTAAGCAAAGTATTGGTAGGGAGACATTAGCTTGCCTCCAGTACACCACTGGAGTACTGATTGCCAAAGGTAATTGTATGATTGCACAGTAATCATACAAGCACGGTATGAGAAACCAGCCAGGATTACAAACAAGGCTGTGCTGCTAACAAGGAACTGGAGGAATCGGAGTGTGAGGAAGAGACAATTTTAGATGCCTTCCTGCTTCAATACTGCTCAACTTAATTGCCTCAAAGGGACAAGTATATTCAATTACCCCCAACTCCCATCAACAGCATTAAACTTACTTCAAATCTCACCAGAAACATTTTGCCCTCAAACCTGAGTTCATAAACCTTTTGGTTTTGCTCAATGGCTATAAAAGCAGATGCTTGTATTTTACATTAAAATACTGTTTCATATGTATATATATGTATTAAAAACAAAACAAAATAAAGTACTCTGCTTGCAATATATTCTTGTAGCAAACAAAGGTCTAGGTAAGATATCCATACAAAGACTTAACTGATTAACTGGGAGAAAAATGTTAACAGTAAAATTCAAAACCAATAAACCTTTAATCACACATGAACTATGTTTTACGTACTTCCCACCACAGAACCTGCAAGAAAGCTACCAGTGAAAGAAAAGAACAAGGTGTCAAAAAGAAGAAACAGAAGGTTTTTACCTGAGGGTTTTCCAATACAGCACTATTTGGTGAGGCTATATCTCAAGTTATGTTTAATTTTTATTTTCTGTTGAATCTGGGACCCCCAGAGTTATTAGATGCTGCCTGAAGTCTACTCTGTTAGGCCCTAAGTTGATAATCATAATCAGAGACAATAACTGGAAGAGGAACATGACTGAAAGGGGCCTCAGACATTCTCCAGAGTGTAAGCACTAGGTGGGAGGAGTAGGCAAAACAGGATGTATGCTTGGATCTCAATTCACAACTTGTCACATTGCTGTAATGCTGTCTTCATTGGCAACCCACAACTATGAACCAGGCTGTGACCTGCAGCACTACAGAAGCCTTGCACATGCTCTCCTTCCCTCTCCATTAAATTTATCTGAGAGAAGAAGTAACATCTTCCACTGCTATTGGTGGAATACCCATCAGATACCAAGTGTCAGGGACCCTGACTAAAATAGTCACGTCATGTCATGAAGCAGCTGATGGAAGGACAGAAACTATTAGAGATTAAGATAGGACTAACCAGTATTTATTACTTCTCTGTAAGCTTCACATGAAACTATGCTGATCAAAGAAACTCCCTCCCCACCCTTCACTACTTAATAGCGTCTGACCTCAAACACGTCAGCTAACAAAGCTCCATGTCAATCTAAATGCTTTCATAACCCTGATCTGGTCAAGGCTTTAACTTGCTTTTACTTTTGCACTGGGAAAAAAGGACAGCTAAAGAGCCTGTGAGCAATCTCAGATGAGATTTTTCAGAGTGCACAGAGAAAAGATTGGGATAACTCACTGTAAAACCCCCAAAGTGGCATTCGAACAGTTTAACTTGAAGGTCCAGCCAGTCTGTATAGCTGAGCAAAAAGCAGACTATCCAATATTGCTGAACAAGGCTGAAAATCCAAACTCATGGAAAGTGCCTTCTTTTTCCCCAGTGAGTATGAATTCTGTGAACATACTTTGAATAGCTCACGTTAATTTGCTATTTACCAAATAGGTCAACCACCATTTGAATACATAATTCTAGAAAGTGTTAATTAGTTATACAATTATTAGAGTTACAGCTGGTCAAATATTAGTCCCCAGTGAAAACAGAAGGCATTCAGTTGATGGAAACTGGCTTAGCTGCCTTTAAATGCTTGAAACGACACCGATTTATCCAAGCCTCTGTAGAGTTCAGACTTAAAAACAGCAGGTTTGTAAATATCTTTCTCCTTAAGCCAGTCTTTCAATAATGACAAACATGTTTCAGCTAGTAGGTTATTTCCTAAATATTAATTGTTAACATTATTTTATAAGTTAGCTACTGAATGACCACAAGAGAGTAGCTGTTTTGTCCCAGCTAGATGACTTGTGATTTCAAAAAGCTTTCAGGAATGTGACTTGAACAAAATTATTCCAAGCTCTTGTTCATGCATCAGTTTATGCAAATACTTGCATGCTGAGGTATATTGACCAGAATTTTCACAACCAGTTTTATTGACAACACTTTATTAAATAACAAATTCTAATGAGAACTAATCTGATCGCTACGATTACAGATGGAACAAATTCAATTTACATGAAATATATTTGCTAATGCTTTCTGCAGCAACTACCAGATGCTATTTTTAAGACTGTGAGGAAGGAAATTAAACTTACGATGCAAGAGATAATAGGTGATCCTTCTGTGATCTCATTTTTTTCTGTCTAAAGCTGAAACTAAGCATTAGTCAGTTATTTTTGTCCTAGGGCATCATACAGCAGTTACACAATACTGAACTGAACAAGTTTAACATCTCAAGGCTGTGGAAAGATGGATGGCCTGACCCAGTCTCAAGGGAGGTTTGTTGCCTACCTGAGGCACAGATCAGGGATGTTGCAGAGAGGCTGCCTGCTCTGGTAAGTCCCACGGACTATTGCCCACTTCTAGTGATCCATGTGGGTGCTAGGGATATATAGTAGTAGCCTGGAGAACATGAAGAAGACTACAGAGCCCCGGGAGAGGTGGTCAGGGGCTCTGAAACTCAGATTGTCTTTTCATCAGTTCTCCAGGGTACAGGGGAGGACATTAAAAAAGGTAGGAGGATTGGCCAGGTTAATAAATAGTTAAAAGGTGCCAAAGTCAGGGGTTTGGGTGTCTTGAACATGGGACCCAAGTTAGTAGGACAGGTCTACTGGGGGCTGGTGGAGCTGGGATTTTGGTAGGAGGCTTGCCAGACTGGTCAAGGATGCTTTAAATTAGATGTGTGGGGGGAGGAGGGCATCGTTCCATCCCAACACACCCAGTCAGTTGATAACACCCATAATAAATGCTCGGAGAAATTCCAGCCACTCCAGCCAAGGAGCCGGCTTCATTTGGAGCTCGGCTCAGATGCCTCTATACAAACGCCCGTAGCATGTGGAACAAACAAGAGGAATTAGAGATGTGTGCATGACTATGGGGGTATGATATAATAGGCATCACAGAAACATGGTGGGATGACTCCTATGACTGGAGTGTTGGAACGGAAGGTTACAGGCTCTTTAGAAAAGACAGGCCTGGCAAGCGAGGATGGGGGAGTTGCTGTTTATGTTAGGGATAGGCTGGAGAGTATGGAACTCTTGTCTGGGGACAGGTGAGCAGTCAACAGAGAGTTTGTGGGTCAGGATTAAAGGGAGAAAAGCTATGGGAGACATTACTGTGGGGATCTGTTACAGACTGCCTGATCAAGAGGGCTCTGCGGATGAAGCACTCTACAGACAGATAGGAACAGCCTCACACTCACCGGCCCTTGTCCTCATGGGGGACTTCAACCACCCTGACATCTGTTGGAAAGGCGGTACGGCCCGACACAAGCAATCCAGGAGGTTCCTCAATTGTGTGGAAGACAACTTCCTACTGCAAGTAATAGAGGAACCGACAAGGAGAGGTGCCATGCTTGACCTCGTGCTCACCAACAGGGAAGGACTTGTTGGAAATGTGATGCTGCAGGGCAGCCTTGGATGCAGCGATCATGAGATGGTAGAATTTGAGATCCTCAGGACAGTGAGAAGAGCATGCAGCAAGCTCACTGCCCTGGACTTCAAGAGAGCAGACTTCGGCCTCTTCAGGAACCTGCTTAGTAAGGTTCCATGGGATATAGCCCTAGAGGGCAGGGGGGCCTAAGACTGTTGGTTGGTCTTCAAGGACCACCTGCTACAAGCTCAAGAGTGTTGCATCCCAACTAGTGCAGCAGGAGGGCCAGGAGACCTCCTTGGATGGATAAGGAGCTCCTGAGGAAAATTCAAATGAAAAAAGAGTTTTATAGAAAGTGGAAGCAAGGACAGGTGGCCTGGGAAGAGTACAAGGATGTTGTCCGGGAAGCTAGGGACCAGGTTAGGAAAGCTAAGGCCCAGTTAGAATTAAACTTGGCTAGGGATGTTAAGGATAACAGGAAGGGATTCTACAGGTACGTAGCGAATAAAAAAGAGACTAGGGACAATGTAGGACCCCTCCAGAAGCTATCAGGAGAACTGGCTACCCTGGATTTGGAGAAGGCTGAGGTTCTTAATGACTTCTTTGCCTCGGTCTTCATTGGCAAAGGCTCTGACCACACCACCCAAGTCCTGGAAGGCAGATGCACAGACTATGAGAATGAAGACCCTAGGCCGACTGCAGGAGAGGATCTGGTTCGAAACCATCTTAAA